GAGAGGCAATCGGATATGTCCTGGATCAACTTTACCTATAAATGTTAGTAACCAGTTACAGTATATTCTGTGTATCTAAGAAACAATCCAGGCCCTTTTTAAAGCAATCCACTGAGCTGGCCAGAACCAACTCTTGAGGGAGTCTGTTCCACATTCTCACAGCTCTCACTATGAAGAAACCTTTCCGTGTTTGGAGATTAAATTTCTTTTCCTCCAGTCGTAAAGAGTGCCCCCTTGTCCTCTGTGATGACCTCAGGGTGAATAATTTTACACCGAGTTCACTATATGAACCACTGATGTATTTTTACATGTTGATCATATCCCCCCTAATCTCCTCTTCTCAAGTGAGAATAAATTCAGTTCCTCTAATGTTTCCTCATAGCTGAGCTCCTCCATGCCTCTTATCAGTTTGGTTGCCCTTCTCTGTACTTTCTCCAGTTCCCCAATGTTCTTTTTTGTGAATTGGTGCCCAAAACTGAACTGCATATTCCAGATGAGGTATTACTAATGATTTGTACAGGGTTAGAATGATATCCCCCTCTATACCTCTTTTAACCGCTTCACGCCGGAGTCTCCGGGCCCTTTAAGAGTTTCAGAAGCCGGGAGGCGGGGGTTTAGGGATCATGTGACTGCTGTGACGCATCATCATGGCGGTCACATGATCGGGAAAGGTCCCGATCGAAAGAGGAGGCTGGGACCTTTCCGTGAGTACCGGACATGTGTGCTGGGAGCGCGCAGGGTGCGCGCTCTCAACACATATGTTTTTTTTTAATAGAACGCAAATGTGTAGCCGCTCGGCGTCTAGGCCCAGATGCTGGGAGGCTGCACATTTGTGTGCAGCCCACATGAAGAGGTTAATACAAGAGAGGATTTTGCTCGCTTTAGAAGCCGCATTATTAAGCTTGTGATCTACCAGAACCCCCAGATCCTTCTCCACCATTGATTCCCCCAGTTTGTACCCCCCCCCCCCCTAGTATGTATTATGAATGCATATTCTTAGCCCCCAAGTGCATAACCTTACATTTATCAACATTAAACCTCATTTGCCACATAGTTGCCCAATTAAACAGTGCATTGAGGTCGGCTTGTAAGTTGGAGACATCCTGTAAGGACATTATTCCACTGCACAGCTTGGTGTCATCTGCAAAGACTGAAATGGGATTTACAATCCCAGACCCTATATTGTTTATAAATATATTAAAAAATAAGGGTCCCAACACTGAACCTTGGGGTACACAACTGACAACCCTAGACCAGGGGTAGGCAACCTGTGGCTTTCTAGCTGTTGTGGAACTACATTTCCCATGGGGCATTGCAACATTACAAAACTGACAGTTACGGCTATGACTTGCAGAGGCATGATGGAGCTTGTAGTCCTGCAACAGCTGGAGAGCCGCAGGTTGCCTACCCCTGCCCTAGACCATTCAGAGTATGAATCATTAACCACTACTCTTTGAATATGATCTTTTAGCCAGTTTTCCATTTACATACGGATTTTTCCAAGCCTGTAGACTTTACCATACACATTAGCCATGTGTGGGGAACTGTGTCAAACGCTTTTGCAAACTACAAGTATACCACATCCACTGCCACCCCTCTGTCCAAGTATACCATGTCCACCACCACCCCTCTGTCCAAGGTTTTGCTCACCCCCTCATAAACAGAAATCAGATTTGTTTGACAACTTCTGCCTTTCATGAATCCATGCTGTCTGTTGCTTTAAATATTTTTTTCCAGCAAAAACTCATCTATGTGGTCTTTTATTAAACTCTCCAGTATCTTCCCAATGGCAGATGAATTACAGGAAGTAAATGCTACATGAATCATCTGCCCTTACTCAAGATGGCCTTTTCGAAAAATGCTAAGGGGTGTTTATCAAAATTATTTCTCAGCATAATAAATCATGGAGACATGGATATGGGTGGGTGAGTTTGCTTTGAATATTAACAATGAATTAAATAGCATTTGTTTGTGGTGCTCAGATGCAGTGCAGTTTCACTTTACCATACTTCCTGTTCTATATTTACAACTATATTGAGTAGCATTGTCACCTCAGAGAAGGCAGTGTGTTAAGACTACATAACACCTCTATAACAGGGAGAGGTGTTTTGTAGTCCACGAAGAAAGCAGGGAACCATGCTAACTGATAACAGCCCAGAGGCAGAGAGTACAGAGAGCTATCAGTTCACAAGATATCTGACTGGATGAACAGCTTTCAGTGGTATATTTATAAGACCAAAAGGGAGAATTGTATTGTTAGAGTTATTATTATTATACAGGATTTATATAGCACCAACAGTTTGCTCAGCGCTTTACAATATAACGGGAGACAATACAGCAACAATACAGTTCAATACAAGAGGGTTAGGAGGGCTCTGCTCCTTGGAGCTTACAATCTAGGAGAGTTTGCATATACTTTAACCTTTTCAAATGATAACAGCCGAGAGGATCCTTCCAATGTGCACTGTTCCACTAACCATCTGTATAGTATATCTTACAGCTGGCAGTGTCTCTAGACCTAAAGGCAGAATCCTAAGAGGCCATTTGACTGTGATGTTGTGGTTATACATGAGTTACCTCAATGTGATTTACATGAGCTAGCGCATTGTAGTTAGTGCCTGAATACCAAATAGGCAGAGAAGCCACTGGCCTGTAGCCCCCACGCTGTTTAAAGGCCCCGTAACAATGGATCAAAATAATACTGATTTGATCTTGAAAGAAATTCACAATTACACCTTTCCAGGTTGTTTGCAAAAGATAGAAAACATGAATCAGCTCCAAGAAATGAAAACTACAGTACAATAAAGCTTCTATAGAGAAAATACTGTATTAATGTAATGTAGCCAATAACAACTTAAAATACATAAGCCATAGACAACAGGTTTGCATTACAGTTTGTCTCTTAATGGCTTCCCACCCAGCCACATAAACAGCTATGTCGGTGCTTCTTCGTTCCGAGTGGACATACCAGTACTTCCAGTCAGAATGTGCGCTTCACACGGCCTTAGGGCTGCTCAGTAGCGCGATCCTGTGATGTGATGTGCTGTGGGACAAGGGTGCTGTGATTGGCACTCCCCATCACCTGATGGCTGTGTCCAAGCACAGCCATCACTCAGTGTAAACAGAGGAACATGTCTCTATGTCAGATCTTCTCGGGTGGGGGGAATACTGTAGCCTATAACATTCTCTGTCTAGCTGATGATTTTAGTGCTCAGCTATACAGGGAGCACACATACTGCAGCCATTGTCACACAGTACATTGAGTACCATCTGTCCCATCAACATCTGTACCAGTGCATAAAACATCTGTCACGGTGTACTAGTGTCCCATCAACATCTGTCACAGTATACCAGTCTCACATCAACACCTGTCTCAGTGTACCAGCAAACAAAAACATCTGCAGCAGTGTACCATTGCAACATCAACATCAACAAAGGCAAAGGCGAACGCACACTTTGGGCCCCGTATGCAATGGCAATCACATCACACATGTAAGGTATTGTCACAAACGTCAGAGGAAGAGTAATAATTATAGCACCAGACCTCCTGTGTAACTCTAAACTGCTGACCTGTAAAGGCTTATAAACCGTTGCCTATGGAGATTTTTAAATACTTACATTTGCCACCATTTCACAAGCGTGCACAATTTTAAACAGTGGCCGTTTGGTATCTATTTACTCAGAGCAACATCATACTTTATATTTAACCAAAATATTGGGTATTATATTGTGTTTGTGTGCATTAAAATTCATCAAAGTGTATTTTATTCTCTAGGGCCTCTGCTAAAAAAAAATATAAAATGTTTGGAGGATCCATGTAATTTTCTAGCAAAAAATACAGATACAGTAAACAAAAAGTGTCAGAAGAAGGCCTGGTCTTACAGTGGACAATGCCTGAAGGTGCTCCTTGGATGTTGGGCCCCTCTATGTGGCTGAGCTGTGAAAAATCCTCACACATGTGGCATTGCCATACTCCGGAGTAGTAGAAGAATGTGTTTTGGGGTGTAGTTGCAAGTTTGTCTATGCTGTGTGTGAGAAATATGACATTTTTGTGAGAAAAAAACAAAACACATTTATTTCCTAATTTTCCAAAGAATTGTGGAAAAAATTACAACTTCATAAAACACACCATGGCTCTTACTAAATACCTTGGACTGTCTACTTTCCAAAAAGTAATTATTTTGGGGGTATTTGTACTGTCCTGGCATTTATGGGCCTCAAGAAATGAGTTTGGCTGTCAGTACATCAGGTATGCCCAATATTCAGTGATAGGTACCATAATTTGTAGACTCTATAACTTTCACACAGACTAAATATTATGCACTGATTTGGGTTATTTTTATCAAAGAAATGTAGCTGTATACATTTTGGTTTATATTTATGAAAACTACTTCTTTGCAAAATTTTTATAATAGAAACAAAGAAACATTTCAACATTTTCGAGGGTTTTTTAGCTTATATCGCAAAAAAAATCCAAAAACCCAGTGGTGATTAAATACCATCAAAAGAAAGCTTTATCTGTCTAAAAAAATTATAAAAGTTTAGTTTAAATTTTAATAAAAATGTATAAAGAAAAATGACTTATTTGCAAAATTTTATAACAGAAACATGCTTTTTTTTCCAAAATTTTCGGTCTTTGTTTATAGAGCAAAAAAAAAAAAAAACTGTGTGATTAAATACCATCAAAAGAAGGCTTTATTTGTGTGAAAAAAATGCTAAACATTTCATATAGGTAGAGTGTTGCATGATTAATTATCATTCAAAGCGCCACAGCACTGAAAGCTGAAAATTGGCCTGGGCAGGAAGGGGGTGAAAGTGCCCAGTATGGAGGTTGTTAAAGCCTCATCCTCTTTCAGCTGTCATTTTTTAAAATATTTATGTACAACTTGTATTTGTGTAATGTAAAGTAGTGATGATCATCTCCATTTAGTGGTCGACATGTACACTACATAGTTCAATGTTGTCCTATTACAGTGCGTGCATGAGAAAAATCCAGAAACCTGTGCGGGGTGCCCCAAGGTTCCAACTGCCTAGGGGCCGCCACAGAGTTTATTCCAGTACTGCTTGGGGTGCCATTCAATTATTTCAGGTCCCAGAAAAACCCCAACCTTTACAGATAAAAATGCTGCATTTTTCACATTCTTATGCATGAGCCCTAAGCCCTAGTTCACACTCGTGCGGGCCGTGCAGCTAGAATTTGCAGAGGCATAGCAGCCTACTCATTTGAATGGGCTGCCGTGCCTGTGCATTCCATCAATAAAGGTGAATGCATCTTTTTAAAAAAACTCGGACGCAGGTAAATCGCATGATTGTTTTGACCATGTGATTTTCCTGCGATTTACACAAATGCTCGGAGGTGCCATTCAGAATGAATGGCATTCACATGCGATTCGTAAGTGCAACACGTTTTGGCTGCGGATGGTTGCAAGCGTGGGAACAGTTACAATTTCTGCACCCGCAACCAGCCCACACAGTGTGAACTTGGGTTTAAGCATTCTTCTGCCAACCAAGTCTGCAGTGAGATCACAGTATATAAAAGATCAGTGACACAGGTTGGAGCCTTTTTGAGAGTGTCTGAGTGACTTAGTGACTGAGTATGGCTGGAGGGGCTCCAGAATGTGACTTATGAGGCATAATACTGATCTCATGTAAAGAAAAATTCTTTCTGCTATGCATCTGTAGAACTTTTTAATGCCCAAGTCCAAAACGTATCCCTTGCAGCGGGGCTGCGCCAACTAAAGGAGTTATAATGCTTACCCATTCCATTGCTCCTCCCTACTGTCAGACCGGTCCCCGAAGCTTGGACGTGTTGACTCCATGTCATCATGTTACATGTACACCTCTGGAGTGTGGTCGGGGAGGATAAGATTTGCAAAAGTGTTCTCCTATCCCCTAGACCAGGGGTAAGCAACCTGAGAGCCGCAGGACTACAAGTTCCATCATGCCTCTGCAAGTCATAGCTGTAACTGTCAGTTTTGTAATCTTTGCAATGCCTCATGGGAAATGTAGTTCCACAACAGCTAGAGAGCCGCAGGTTCCCTACCCCTGCCCTAGACAAAACAAACAGTTCGCTTTTGTAGCCACACTGCAAGGGATAATTTTACAATTTCCTGGAGTTAGGCTTTAATGCATTCTTCTGCCAGCCGAGTCTGCAGTAAAGTCACAATCAGGGGCGGACTGACCATTTGGAAACTCGGGCACTGCCCGAGGGCCCGGGGTCAGCCCCATGAGATGCCCCGGTATCGTTTTCATAGGCTTTTTTGAGTTTGGGCAAGGACACAGGGGCCCCATGATCCCCTATTGCCCGGGGGCCCCATGAGTTGTCAGTCCGCCCTGGTCACAATATAAAGAATCAGTGACACAAGTGCTTCTGCTGTGCAGCCTGCTTTCATAGGAGATGTCCATGGGCACTGATAGCTCTGTGTAAGTATGGTCTAGTTGGGTGACTCGAGATCCTGTAAATTTTAGGACTTTCTACATTTTTACTGTATTTATACTTTTTCTAGAAACAAGTGGATAACTTATTTACCATATTACTTTTCAGAGTACTTTTTCCTGTAAAAGGGAAGGCATCAAAATAACGTGCAGTATTTGTTAAATAATGCTTGCCCTTTGCTACGATCCTATCTGCTTACATTTCCTAATAAATTGCTTTCTGAGTAACTGTATTCCACAAGCTTTTTTATGTGGTCACGTGACCAAAAAAACTCAGTCTCCTTTCCATCGCTCTACGGCTGGTGGGCAGCACTCCTCGCCTTGTCTACATTGCGAATGGGGTGACATCAACATTGTAGGTAATTTAGCACCATTGATTGGCCAGAACTTTGCAGTCATGTGACCACATAGATAAACTTAGAAGTAGAAGTTCAGTCAAATCCTAACTATACCTAAACCTATTTCCACCCAAATTTTAAGCGTATTCTAAATACCCCATAAAGGACTGATGTTTATACTTACCTATTGTGAGGGTGCTCTGGTCCAGTCACATGATCTCTCCAATGGTCAGCTTCATCATATAAGGGAAATCACCAACAAGGGCTGCAGAGTCTATGTGGTGAAGTCACCCATATACAGTAAAATGTCAGGTTTCTGTGATGTAAAAAATTGAGACAAAGAGAAATCATTTCAGAACTTTTTCCACCTTTAATGTAACCTATAAACTGTACAACTCAGTTGAACAACAAACTGAAATCTTTTAGGTGGAGGGAAGTAAAAATAAAAAACTAAAATAATATGGTTGCATAAGTGTGCACACCCTTAAACTAATACTTTGTTGAAGCACCTTTGATTTTATTACAACACTCAGTCTTTTTAGGTATGAGTCTATCAACATGGCACATCTTGACTTGGCAATATTTGCCCACTCTTCCTTGCAAAAATACTCCAAATCTGTCAGATTGCGAGGGCATCTCCTGTGCACAGCCCTCTTCAGATCACCCCACAGATTTTCGATCAGATTCGTGTCTGGGCTCTGGCTGGGCCATTCCAAAACGTTATTCTTCTTTTGGTGAAGCCATTCCTTTGTTGATTTGGATGTATGCTTTGGGTCGTTGTCATGCTGAAAGATGAAGTTCCTCTTCGTGTTCAGTTTTCTAGCAGAAGCTTGAAGGTTTTGCGCCAATATTGATTGGTATTTGGAACTGGTCGTAATTCCCTGTACCTTAACTAAGGCCCCAGTTACAGCTGAGGAAAAACAGCCCCAAAGCATGATGCTGCCACCACCATGCTTCACTGTGGGTATGGTGTTCTTTTGGTAATGTGCACTGTTATTGCGCCAAACATATATTTTGGAATTATGGCCAAAGAGTTCAAACTTGGTTTCATCAGACCATAACACATTTTCCCACATGCTTTTGGGAGACTTCAGATGTGTTTTTGCAAAATTTAGCCGGGCTTGGATGTTTTTCTTTGTAAGAAAAGTCTTCCGTCTTGCCACTCTACCCCATAGCCCTGACATATGAAGAATACGGGAGATTGTTGTCACATGTACCACACAGCCAGTACTTGCCAGATATTCCTGCAGCTCATTTAATGTTGCTTTAGGGCTCTTGGCAGCCTCCCAGACCAGTTTTCATCTCGTCTTTTCATCAATTTTGGAGGGACGTCCAGTTCTTGGTAATGTCACTGTTGCGCTATATTTTCTCCACTTGAGGATGACTGTCTTCACTGTGTTCCATGGTATATCTAATGCCTTGGAAATAATTTTGTACCCTTCTCCTGACTGATACCTTTTAACAATGAGATCCCTCTGATGCTTTGGAAGCTCTCTGCAGACCATGGCTTTTGCTGTAGGATGCGACTAAGAAAATGTCAGGAAAGACCTACTAGAACAGCTGAACTTTATTTGGGGTTAATCAGAAGCACTTTAAATCATGGCAAGTGCATACTGACTCCTATTTAACATGATTTTGAATGTGATTGATTAATTCTGAACACAGCTACATCCCCAGTTATAAGAGGTTGTGCACACTTATGCAACTGCATTATTTTAGTTTAAATGTTTACTCCCCCCCCTAAAAGATTTCAGTTTGTTTTTCAATTGAGTTGTCCAGTTTATAGGTCACATTAAAGGTGGAAAAAGTTCTGAAATGATTTATCTTTGTCTAATTTTTTTTACATCACAGAAACCTGACATTTTAACAGGGGTGTGTGCTTAATATGGGGCATCCATTGCTGGTTGTAACTCCTCTACAATGAAGTTTGGTACTGAGAGCCAATCATGTGTCCAGACCGGAGAGACCTCAGCATAGGTATAGGTATTGACATCTTTCCTTTACTGATTAGTTAGAATAGACTTAAAATGGGGTGGGAGCAGGTTTAAGTGTAGTCAGGATTTGACTAGACGTCTTTATTATTATTATTATTATTATACAGTATTTATAAAGCGCCAATAGTTCGCTCAGCGCTGTACATTACAGAGGGGAACAGAACATGTGACAGAACAATACCAATACAATGCAAAACATGAGGGGATCCAGGGCCCTGCTCTTTCGAGCTTACAATCTAGGAGGGAGGGGATGGTGGCACAGGAGGAGATAGCTGTGGGGGGTGAAGTGGTAGGAAGAGTGGAGGAGGACGGCAAGTTAGCAGGGGGTGGGGTAGGCTTCCCTGAAGAGATGGGTTTTCAGGGTGCGCCTAAAGGAGAGGAGAGTAGGTGATAATCTGATGGGTTGGGGCAGGGAGTTCCAGAGGATGGGTGACACCCTGGAGACGTCCTGGAGGCGGGCATGGGAGGAGGAGACCAGGGAACTAGAGAGAAGGAGGTCTTGTGAGGAGCAGAGTGTGCGTGCTGGGTGGTACTTGGATATTAGGTCAGTGATGTAGTTCGGGGCAGTATGGTGGACGGCTTTGTACATCAGCGTTAGGATTTTGAATTTGATCCGTTGCGCAAAAAAAAAAAAAAAAAAACTATCTAGAAAGCAATTTATTGAAAAACTTAAGCATTGGAGCAAAGGAAGTTATTCTGAAGCTTCTCCTCCTTTAAATTTTCCTTCTAAGTTAAAATAAAAGTTTCAACCTTCAGTATTGTTCCTTGAAAAATATAATTTCTGAATCTGCAAGTGCCAAGGAAAAACCCCATACAATATTGAAGGCAGTGTGTACTTAAGTTACAGAACATTATATTCTGTGCAAGAGACTTTGTCTGATCTAAATAAATCCTCTAATTTATTATATATTACATATTCAATAGATTTGTCTTTTCCAAAGTAATAGCTTCAGCTCTTGTTCATTACTGTGTCCTCTAATGTCTTAAAAATCCTCCACTTAAGATCACAGATCTGATGATGGTGCACGTGAAAATATCTGGTGACAGAAGTATCATTGGCTTTCTCGCTGTCATTATTTTTTCTGGCAACATTAGACAGAGTTATCTATCAGCTGACATTTGCAGACTGGTACATATGACAGCATTATGCTTGTTAATCTCTACATGGGAACTCTGTTCTGGCCAGTATATGGCAGATCATATTCCCCTCTTCACATGCTGTCCTTGACAAAGGTAGAACAGATGTCCCCAATCCTTGTCAGTTACCTGCTATGCCAGTCCCAAACCAGATCTTTTATATTTGACAAAAA